AATCTCTATTAGCTCTTCAAATCTTCCAAGACCTTCATTAGTCCTCAGGCTGAACCACTTTTTGGGCAAGGCCTTGTCCCACGGATGGATCAATCATTTCACTGTGCCAGGCTGGGAGCCACCCCAGGCTCTGAGTCCAGTGTCCCATCCCATGTAATAGTTGTGCCCTGGCCAGTTTGGATAGGCCTCCGCTGGTTCGACCAGGAAGGTAATAACCAAATAATTTAACAATTCTATCATTAAATATTTAGTATTGATGGCTTAGGAAGGAAATCATTTGGGTTTGTTAGAGACATTGTGGTACTGGTGCTCCTGCACCAATGCCAACACCTCACTGTTGGCTGGTGAGTGCCTGCAGCTGCTTCTCCATGCCAGGCTGCCAGGCTTTTCCCATTGGGTTAGAGGGACCCAGCACCCCAGCAGCATCCCTGGCACCCCTGCACCCATGACAGCTGGAGGCATGTGGCTGATTCTGGGGAGGTCTGCAGGTTCACTCCTGCAGTGTCTCACACTCTGCACTGCCTGGACATCTGCACTTGTCAGCTCCTGTTTTGCTTCTCTGTCCCAAATCCTAAGGGGGTTTCCCAAACCCAACCATTATTCATATTTTCCTTGGATGACTAGACTGTTGCATCACTGCCAAGTCCCAAAAAGTCATAAATCTCCTTAGCCTTCCTAAAATCAAGGAATTAGGAGGGAAAAAACCACACACACACACACACACACACACACACACACACACAAACAAACAAAAAGAACCCAGCTTTTTTAAGTAATACTTTTAGGAGAGGATGTTTATTTCTCTCCAGGGTCCTCAGCCTTCTTCGCTTTGCTCAGTTTTTTGTGCAGCACCTGCCTCCAGAGGGAGCCCAGAATTACGAAACTAAAGGGGCTATGAAAAAGTTAAGTATTGCAAAAATTAATTGAGTTGTTGGGGCTGTGAGGCTTGGAGCAGCTCATCCCACAGGATCCAACACCCCCAGAAATGACCCAATTGCTTTGCATCCTGCAGGACAGCTGTGCCTCGAGGGTCTGAGGAGGGGCAGAGCTCCCAATGTGACTGCACCATGTCCTGGGAACAATGGGAGCTGGAGCCCCTCTCCAGTTCCTGTAGTATTCCATGGATTTCCACCATTTTAGTGGAGGCCTGAGCTGCTTTTCCTCCTCCTGCCTCTCAGTGGGATTGGCAGCTCTCTCTGCTCATAGGATGCTGGTGTGCTAGCCTCAGGATGGGATTGTGGGTCTGCAGAGCAGGATCCCTTCTTCAAGGTCCCCAGCCCCCTGGGCCCCTTCTGCCTTCTTGCTGCTGGCTGGGGGCCCCAGGGTGATGCCTTCAGGGCCAGGGAACTTTCGCCCATCCTTTCAGCTGCCAGACCAGCTGCAGCGTTGAGAAATGGCTGGTGTGTGCCAGTATCAGACTGTGACAGCCACCTTGGCTGACCACTGCCACAGCTCAACAGCTGCTGGGTGCTCCAGCACTGCCTGTGAGCATGCTTATGACTCCCTCCAATGACAGATGGATGGGGGAACACTGCCACAACACCGCTGCACCAGTGTGCATGGCAGTGCTTAGGAGATACTCAGCAATTCAGGCGCTGCTGGAGAAATCCACTACCCCAGGCACATATAAGGGCATGCGCAGAGCAGCACAGCTGTGGCTGTAGATGCACACGCTGTGCCAGGCTGTCCTGTGGACATGCACATGGCATCTGTGCACACACTGTGACTGTGGTCGTGCCAGGTACATGCTCATCCTGTATCGGTGCCCACATCATGCTTATGGGTTGCATTGTCCATGGTCACATGTATTCATGCTCACACTGTGACCATACTCACACTGTGGCTTTGTTTGCACTGTGGTCCTGCTCTCATCACACCAAACTGTTCCCTCTGATTCCTGGCTCTCCAGCAAGGCAAAGATGAAAGAGGCCTTCCATGGGCAACCAACCAGCTGCTGGGGCTCAATGTCCTCCCCTCCAATGCCCCCAGACACCCTGGACACATGAGCACTGTTGGTGCTGCACAGTGAACCCCCCAGACAAGGCTGGGGGAGGCACCTCATCCTGCAGCAGCCTGGAAAAAACAGGCTGGGGAGAAAATTAGCTGGAGTTTTTATTATGGGGATTTTATTTTTTAAAGCAATGGAAAGTACATCACTGTTGTGAAAAACCCCAAAGGTCTGGGCCAGCCTGTGGGATAGTAGTATGCTTAGTAGTATGCCTCTGCTCTGTGGTGGATATCCTGTTCAGCCCAGGAGGGATGTGAGGTGGGAGCTGGCTGTAGGAACAATTAGCATGGCAGCAAGGACCATGAGGGGACTGATCCTGCCCCCTGGAATGCACCAGGGTGGTGCAGTGGCATATGGGGCAGCAGGGACAGCTGGGCCCTGCCAGGAGGCATCACATGGCCATAGGACTCCTGGGAAACTGTTGGGAAGGACCCTTCCTGTCTAAGCAGTACTGGTCCCTCCAGCCAGAGAAGGTGCAACTGGGGATTGGCAAACTCAGGACAGTCCAGCAGAGAGTGATGGAGCCACCAGCTCTTCCAGTGCATGAAGTGAAGGTAAAGCCAGATCCAACCCATCCTGAAGCAGGCAGCTCCCAGTGCTGGGGAGCAGCAGCTCCCTGATAAGGGATGGTCCTTCTGGAGGTTTGCCTGCCCTGCAATCCAGGGATTTTGACAAGTACAGAGAGGAAGAATCTACTGAAGAGTGAAAATCAGAAAATCATGGCTGGCTCAGGTCACCCCCAAGCTGAAGACACCTGGAGACAGGGAGAGGGCTCAAAGAAAGTGTCCCATATGTTGCTGTCACCTTCCTCATTCATGGACACCACTGGGTGGCAGGAGGGCATGGTGAGAATATCACAGCTGTGTTACTCCTGGCTGCTTCCAGGTTTATCTCGGAGACCAATGTGTGCCAGCCAGGGATGTGGCTGCCAGGAATGTGGCTGGCACAGGCTCCAGCTGGATTCTGACATTATTTTTTAAGCAAGTGGAACTTGAACCTGTAAAGATCCCACCTGAAAGCTTAAAGCTACTGCTAGGGGCCCAAGCAAGTGCCTGGTCCAGTGACTGCCAGGAGACCTGAGTTATTCCAAACACTGGAAACATTTGTCCTCGTGTAGCAACCCACTGCTGAGCCACAGAACCAGGTATCTATCCTCTCCCTGCCTCTCAGGAGTGATGGTCCTGGCAGATTATTGAGAGGAGGAGGAGCCTGAGCAGCACCTGCAGCCTGGCGCAGGGCTCAGGCACTCCATGCCTCGGGGATGTGGCAGCTGCCTGGCAGCTCTTCTTGACCCTGGGTTAGGGAAGTCCTGCTTTCACTGTGCACCCCCCCAAACCACAGAAGAACTGACATTGCTGATCTCAGGGCTCACTTCCAAAGAGAGACGTGTTGGAAATGGAAGCTGAATCCTTTAGCAAGATGCATAAAGTCTTCCTGCATGACAAGGTGAGGGTAGGAGACAGTGGCAGTCAAGCAGGCTCCCAGCACCAGTTTGGTGCTCAAACCAGCCCTCAGAGGCTGAGCAGGCTCGTGCCGTGGGAAGGCAGAGGTGTGGGATCTTCCACAGGCTGCAGGTTGGTATCTGCTCCACCATGGACCTCCATAGGTTTCAGGAGCACAGCTGTCTTATGGGCTGCAGGTAGTCTCTGTTCTGGCACCTGGAGCACCTCCTCCCCTCCCTCTCCGCTGAACTAGGATCTGCAGGGCTGTGCAGTGGTTTTTACTCTTTCTTAAAAACATTATCCCAGAGGACCCTCCCATTCATTGCTGGCGGGCTCAGCTGTGGGTGGTAGTGGGTCCAACACAGGGACAGCTTTTGGTGCTGTCTCACTAAGGCACTCTACAGACCCCCACTGCCCAAACCTTGCCAGTGCAGTCCCAAGGACACAATGGCCCCCTGGCAGGAGGGGGACCGGGCTGGAGCAGAAAGGGGATGCACTGGAAGCGGGATGTGGATGCCCATCCACAGCAGCCTCTGCCCAGCTCCTGTCTGGTTGATACACACCAGGCAGGAGCATGTCTGTCCTGACAAAAGCTGCACACACCTAGGTTGATGTTAGCTCCCCTGAGGACACACCAACCTGGGCAGCTGCTCCAGCATCTGGTGCAAGGGAGTTTGAGATCTGAGCCTCACCATCTGCTCCTCAGAAAGGAGATGAGTGTCTGCTGAGCGTCTCTGGCAAGCTGCCTGCATCCCTAGGTGCTGCCAAATTTCACACTCATGCAGTTTCTCTTCTGAGGGTTTAACTTCAGCCCTGCCCAGGGACTTTGAGCAGAAAGAAATTACTCCGGTAAAGAAAGCTTTTCCCCACAACAGAATAGTGTTTCCTTGCAGCACCTGTCATTAGCCCATGAAACCATGATTGTTCTTCCACCTCACATAAAACTAAAATCCACATGAAACTGGAAAATTTGCACTCAGTAGTTTCATCCAAGTCACCTGTTGAAACCTGAGAGCAGGAGGTGGGACAAGCATCCTTTCCATGCTCTCCCTGGGCATGGCCCTCTCCCTGCAGGCACAGAGGTCACTGCCAGTTTCCTTTGAATGAACCTTAGTAGGATTTTCTTTTCCTTTTGTCCTGGGAGCCAAGCACAAATGTATCTTAAAAGGGCAGGGCCGTGGCCTTGAGTGAAGCATTAGCAGCCCTGAAGGCCTGAGATCATCCCAGAACACAGCTGTTCTCTATTTCCTTTCCCCTAGTGTTGACTCAATCACCTCTGCAATCTACTTCAGCCTCAGAAATGAGTTTAACTGGTGTCATCCCAGGTGAGGGTCCTGATTGCTCTCTTGTCCTGCAGCAGAGAATATTTGTCATGGGACCTTTTCTTAAAAATATTTTCCAGATCAGAACCATAGAATCATTCGAGTTGCAAGGTACCTTAAAGTCCATCTTGTTCCACCCCTGGCCATGGGCCGGGACACCTTCCACTGTCCCAGGCAGTTCCAAGACCTGTCCAACCTGGCCTTGGACACTTGCAGGAGGGGGCAGCCACAGCTGCTCTGGGCACCCTTTGCCAGAGCCTCACCACCCACAGGGAAGGATTTCTTCCCAATATCCCATCTAACCACTGAGGCGATTCCCCCCTTGTCCTTCCAGGCCCTTGTCCACAGTCCCTCTCCAGCTCTCCTGGAGCCCCTTTAGGCCCTGGCAGGGGCTCTGAGATCTCCATGGAGCCTTCTCTTCTACAGGTGAACACGCCCAGTTGTCCCAGTCTGGCTCCACAGCAGAGGGGCTCCAGCCCTCAGAGCAGCTCTGTGGCCTCCTCTGGACCAGTGTTAGTGAAGGAGGGAGCTGGGCTCCAGAATGGACTGGAACCCTGCCCAGCACTGAGTGTGATGCTGTGCCAGGGGGGCTGTGGCGCTGTCCCAGACTTGCTTTGTGCTGAAGCAACATTCTTCATGTTTCAGAAGTTTGCACAAAGCCAGCTGACCTGCCTGAAGTGGCCTTAACAGACCCAAAGACGTATCTGTTTTGGGACAGGACTAGATACCTGCAGCCTTGGGGTATGTCTGAGGGTGTCCCTCTGCAGCAGGAGAGATCCCTATGCATCCTTGGGAGCATCCAGCTGCACATCAGTCACATTGGTTGGTAGTACGTGGAGGAGGATGAAATGAATGAGGCTCCCCAGGGCTTTTTAAGATCTCCACAACACATGATTTTCTCACATTCAAGATGGTGGCATCCCACAATCAGCTCAGAAGCTTGAGTTTCTCCTGAAAGACCAATAAAACTCCAGTTCTGCAGATATATCCAAAACCTGAAAAGTAGAACTGTGAAAATCTCTGGCAGTCATAAATGTTAGAGGTTTTTCATTGTCAGGGTTTTGGATAATCTGATTTCCATCTTTGAGTTCTGAGTTGAGAAAAAACTCTTAAGATAGCTGGGGAGTCCTGGGGTGCACCAGGAATTCAGGAGGACAGTTCATACAAAAGGCTCAGGGTTGGGCAATGGTGGTGAAGCAGGAGGGTTAAATCTGGGAAAAAATGGGATTAATAAATTGATTAAAGCTGAATTATTTCCTGGCCAGGGTGTGATTTAGCTCAACAGTAAAAGGTGATTTCGCTGCAGCTGTACAAAGCTCATCCCTGTTTCTGGGCAGCCCTGTAGAGCCTCAGTTTTGCTGGAAAGAGAAAAGTCTGGCTGCTGGAGGGCTTGCTGGGAGGTGGATGCTAAGGGATTGTCTCTGGGAAAGCAAGGTCCCAGTGGTGATTGCCCAAAGTGGGAGCTCTCAGCAGCTAGGAAAGGTCTTCTTCTATTTGCCCAGATGTCAGCAGGTTTGGGTGGGGATCCTGCAGGGTCTGGGCATCAGGAACAGGGAGGGATACTGCCAGGAAGCACCCAGGGCTGTGAGGCAATATGGGAGAGATCCCTTGGCTGAGCCTTTGCAAAGGGTCACAGCACCCGCTCTCCGGCCCCTATGTTGCAGCAGGTCCATTGCTGCCAGCCCTGAAACAGGACTCCTGCAGCCAGTCAGGAGCATTCCAGGCTGCTTTGGGTACCTCACACTGCCCTCCCTGCCATAGTGATGGGAAATGAACCTTTGCTCTGTGTGCCCCTGTCTGCCTGTGCCATCATTCGCTTGAGTGTGCCACCACCTGCCCTGCCTATGCATCATGCTGGCATTGCTCTGCTGGACACAAGGGGTGTGTTCCAGTACCAGGAGCAGTGACAGCAGAAGGCAGGAATAACAACAGCCTGTGACATCCTCAGTGCTCCCTTCAGAAGGGCTCCTCTGCCCCCAACAACAACTGGGAGTCCTGGGAGGCCTGGGAGCATGTGATTACTGAGTTCCCAAGGGCAATAGGAGCTGAGAGCTGGAGCCCCTGGGCAGTGCATTTGGTTTTTGGCTCTGTCACCACGGGGGCACCTGGAAGTCCTTGTCCAGGAACAAAAGATGCTCTTCCAGTCTGGATCCAGCATAGGTGGCTTCAAGTCATCTCCTGACCTCCAGCAGTCAGCTGGCTGAGGCTGCACACTGGGATCCCAATAGGCAGGGAAGGATCTGGCTGTCCAGTTGGTGGGAAAATGCCATTTGGACTATGGCTGGGAAGACAGTGCACATTGTGTCAGCCATGGCTGGAGCCCTCAACTCTAGAAAAGGAAATAGCTCTCCTGAGATTTCTTGCTGCATTTTGTGATGTGTAAAGGATTGGAAATGAGCCTGCTGGCTGGAGGGGTGTCCTTAGGGCTGTGTACCATTGCATGGAGGCAGTGACCATCTGTCACAAAAAAAATCCATTATCAGGGCCACAAATTTAACTTTAGCATTGTTAGGACAGTCGCTGTATTGACAAAGGACTGCTCCAGGCTTGTTGAGAGATCTGAGCCAGTGTGCTGGGGCTGCTGTCGTGGCTCCTGTTGGAAAACAATGGGAAAAGAGGCAAAAACAAGGAGTGCAGACAAGACAGACAGTTTCTGTGATGCAGAGCTTTCCCCATAAGGACTCTACGTAGGGTGGGCAGGAGAGGGAATGCTGCAGGACAGCTCTTCTTGGTGTTCCTCACCTCATGGCTGGGGGGCACACCACCAGCAAGCCCCACATGTACAGGGAGACTGTTTTTTATTGAAGTCCTGCCAAAGAAGATAAGAGACCTTTCCATTCCCACAGGCTGAGTTTCCAGTATGGGGTCTTGGATCAAACAAGTATAGTTTGATGCCAAAGACTTGCAGGAGCCCTAGGACAGGACGGGACAACTTCTCCCACTGCAGTGCTGTGCTGCAGCATGGAGGCACAGAATGTTGCCACTGGCAAATCAAGCCCTCCATGGGATACTGGTCCTCAAGCCAACTGTCAGCATCAGAGGGAAGAAAGATGATTTTACTCAGTGCAAAATGGAACCCCTTCCTGTATCCTTTCCCAGAGCTCAAGAAAGGGGTGCTGGAGCAGCGTCAGCTGGTTGGCTTGGGGCTTGCTGCTGGAGATCTACAGTATAGCAATAGGTAGGTGGCTTATGCCCTAACAGAGATGCTCCTCGCTCCTGAACTTGCTGCTATGGCACAGTGCAAGGGTGGGAGATGCTCAGAGCCCTCCTAAAATGTTTTCTTTTCCCTAACAACTCTAGGGATTTGAGGAAACCTGTGGGCAGAGAATTTCTCCATGCATCAGCAATGGGAAAAGAGCAAATTCACTGCACAGAAGAGCTGATGCAGAGATGCCTATATAAACCACTTTTTTCAGGTTACTTGAATTCTCCTTGCAGATCAGTACAATAGCTGAGCATGCAGTAATAGGTTCTGTTTGGAACTTCAAGGAACATAAATCTCTCATAAAGCCAGGTTAAATGTAAATAACTGGGGAATAAGAAACCACTTCATTTCAGAAAAGATGTGGGTTTTGGGGGAGAGTGGACAATAGTGCTTGTACCCACCTCAGGAAGAGAAGACACTCCCACGTGGCCTACCTCCCCACGCCCTGCTGCCTGTCACCTTGTCACTTACAGACCTTTGCAAGAATCCCAAGGTGTGTTCACTTCAGGCTTCTGGGTGATGAGTAGCAGGGTTAGCAGAAGAGCCCCTCAGCTGCCCCCAACAGCACCCTGTTCAGTCAGAGCCCTCTGATGCTTTGGTGGGGCTCAATGGGGACAGCCTGGGTGTCTCAGCCTCCCCCAGGGAGTTAATTCTTCCTGTGGGTCTCCATGGGGCTGTGGTGATGGCCATGGGCCGCTTCAGTGAGTCTGTTGCCCTGAAAGCCAGGCAAGGTCTCAGTCTGTGCATGGCCCAGCTGCTCACCATGGCCATTACCTGGTGTGCTGTAGCAGGCACAGGGCCTGCAAGGCCTCCCTGGCAGTCAGTTCCCTAAGACAGGAAATGCCTGGTCATGGTGACTGGACCCGAGGAACCCCTCTTCTGCCCTCAAACCCTTGTTATCCCTGTAAAACAATAGGTCACTTTTGCCTCGACCCTTACTATTGGACTGTTTCCCAAAACTCCTATACCCTATATAAACCCTTATTTCTGCCCAGTTTGGCAGAAGAGCTGTCACTGGGACTCTTTGCAGAAGATACCAATAAAGACACCTCTGCAGAACCTCACACAGCCTTCTCCTCTCTCTCCCTGCGTCTGCCAAAGGCACTTAGCAAGCAAAGAGCTGAAATCACTAAAGAGCTGAGAATCACCAAAGAGCTGATCTCTTAAAATCACTTAAGAGCTGAGCTTGCTTAGATTGCCAGCTAGGAGCTTGCATGAGGGGCCCAGACAGGTTGTGCTTAACTGGACTTCACTGTCTGGGATGTCCACGGCAGCCGGGGTTGGGGAGACCCCAAAAACCCTGGAGCCACATTAGTGCTTGTGGGGATTGTTATGAACAAAAATTCGGTTAATATTTTTTTGTGAGAAAAAGTTACAAAAAGGCAGCCAGATCTCTGTCCCTGCCAAGGTTCTGCGTGTTTTGTTATTGTAATCACGGGTCGTTGTAGCTTATCGCCCCTTTTGTATTATTAAAAGCCCTGGCTAGGGCGAGGTAATGGCCCTTCCCCGAGGCTAAGGCGTACTTTTCCCAGCATAGTGAAGACACCTGAGAGGGTGGGGGGGTTATGCAAAGTGACTCCAAGACCAGCATTTTTTTTGGGACCCCGACTCCAAAGGCACAGAGAAAACCCCAAAAACAAGGAGCCAAATAAGAGTTGAGAGACTGGAGTGATGTCTAGACGTGAAGAGCCGAGTGCTGAGCCTGCAGAGATGCGGAGTCCCTCTCGCCCTGACCACGGGAGTCGTCCCCGGCGGTGAGACTGGGCGCACTGAGCTGAGAAAACCAACATTTGACGGGGACACCACACCCTAAAGGCTCCCACGAGGCCTGGATCCCCCAGCTCTGCCCCTAGCGGACAGAGCTGCGCATATCCTCCTCCTCTGAGTCGCCCTGGGAGACACGATGGGGACTGCAGCCCTGCCGAGCCGCCCAATCCTGAGCTGATCACTTTTAGTAAAGGCATTAAAAAGGAGAAGAAGTCTCCTGGCCCTGTTTATTTCAGGGATGAGCTGAGATTGCTCAAAATGTGGTTTCTCACTAGGAATTGGAGCCTGTGGGTAGTGTTTGCCAGTTTAAGAAAAGTGACAAGCAGTTCCCTCCTTTATTCCAAGCAGAAGATTATTTTCCCCTCCATCCTGCCAGCTCTGTCCCCACCCCACCACCATCCCCTCCCTCACGCTGAGGATGGGGATCAGCCTCTTGCCACAAGGCTGCCCAGGAGGATCTGCATGTGGTGGTCCCTTCCTTTATGTCATGTGCTTTGCTCGTGTTCAGCCAACCTGTCCCACCAGGCTTAGGGACAGGTGAGCCTGCAGTGGCTGCATGGAGCCAACAGGATGTGACCATGACCCTGGGCCTCCATGTGCCAAGGACACCTCTGCCCTGGGGCCACAGCATAGGGGACAGATGTTCTGCTGGCAGGTGTCCTGTCCTGTGCCAGCATCCACAGGCTCATGTCACAAGCTTGGGCAGAGAGCTCGTCAGTTGTCGTGCCAGGGCTGTGGGAACACGGCTGCCAGCCTGAGGGGCTGCCCTGTGCCTCAATACTTCCTGACCCTCTGTCCTGGCAGGAGAGGGCTCTGGGAAAAACAACCAGGAGAAACCAATGGGGCTTTTCTGTAAAAGCCACTTATTTCCTGGCTGGTTCAATGCCAGGACAACAGGGATCTCTGCCCATGGACCCCCTCAGGGCTTGCATCACACAGACACTGTCCTGGAAAACAGGAGACATAAAAGGGTTTAGAA